ATACCGACGGCGGAGGCCCAGAGGAATATGCTATCGCGCCTCGGGGCCATGTTCAGGGAACCGCGCTCACATCGGTTTGAAAAAATGCGGTACCCGAAAAGCTGGGCCCTTCGGTCGTGCCTGTGGGGCTCTGGAAAAACAGGCCACTCAACCTGTTCCGCTACCAGGATCCCGGGCTCAAGGGGTTGCGATGGGCCCTGAACGCGAAAGGCCCCGTTGCTCACTTTCTTGATCAGCGCAGCGCTGAATCCATTGTAAACACGAGGGGCCACGGCGCGGAAAGCTAGAATTCCGCGTGCTTCCCCGGGTTGCAAGAGCCGTGTCCAGTCGTGGCGACGACTGGGTCTGCGCCAACCCCCCCTGGGGGGCCTCGCAAGCATCAATCGGCATGAGCCGTCCCCCCCCTGGGGGGACCGCGTAAGGATCGAAAGGGTTTGCGCCACCACTCTTCTGCGACCTGGCAACACTCGAAGGTGGCTGCCCAACACTCCCCCTAGAGGGCCTCGCAATTGTCCAAGGGACACACGCCATCTCTCCTGGGCCTCATGAAACGAAGCGCCCCCCCCCCCGACGGGCCTGGGGGGAAGGGTCACCAGATTGGTTTCCACAAGTCGTCAGCTTGGATGTGCGAGCGTTGGGAACCAGGAGAGCGCCCACAAATCCCTTGTGGACTGAGAAGTCCGCAACGTGATGCCGCATGCCTCCAAAACGTCCTTCCTGTGATGTTTAATGTGCGTGCGTACATTGTAAGATATGAGCATCGGTAGCCCCCGAAACAATATAATTGTAGACCACGCTGCGTTGACCTAACAACGTTTGCGTAACAATTGTGTTCATGTGTGGCGGCGCGCGTGCAATCAGGGCTTCTTTGATGGCGGCAATAAGCGCGGATATGGCATCATGCGTCCAGTTACTGAGCACATTGCTGTGCGTGTACACGATATGGTTGGTTTTGAAATGTTGTGTTGTGGTGTGTTTCGTTATTTAACTGTGGTACCTTAAACTACTTATATGCCAAAGCGCACATGTACATAATTCGTTGGTGCGAAAGCTGCCATGGAAAAGAGAAAGACTACTTACATGGAACCCAAGACATCGGGAACGATCCTGCCGTGGGAGTGCTGCGGTTCTTAATATAGCGCATTCAACTTCCAGCGCAACTAACACCCCCAGCAGGAAAGGGGGCAGGGGGGGCAGCAGGGCGAAGGGGAGCCAGGAGCGGAAGAGGGAGAGGGGGAGGGGGGAGAGAGCAGGTGGGAGAGCAAACGGGGAAGGAGAGGAGAGGGAAGGAGTGGGGGATCGGAGAGCACGGTGAAGATGGCAAGGAAGGTGATGGGAGAGGAGTGGAGGACGGGAGATGTCAGTACTATTCCCATCCCTCCTGCGTTGGGTTCTCGTTTTGAATAGAGCACTGCGGTCTCCACCTCCCGCCCCTCGCCTCCTCCTCCTACTCTCTTCGCTCCTCCTCTCATCCCACCTCCTATGTTCCCTCCTTCTCTCCTCTCCTGCCGTCGACAGAGCCTCGGTGCTGGGGACCCTGCCATTCCTGGGGGGCTGCGATCTACGAAACCGTCGCCACTTTCGAGGGTTGCGGGGGGGGGCAGCATAGAGGGTACTCGCCGCAGACTCCGATTAGACCTCGCCATACCTGGAGCGCTGCGATCTGTGAAACCGTCGCCACTTTAGAGGGCTGTTAGGGGGGCCAGCATAGTGGGTACCCGCCGCAGACTCAGACTAGGCCTTGCCATCCCTGGGGCGATGCAATCAGCGAAATCTTCGCCACTTTCGAGGGCTGCTTGGCGTGGGCAGCATAGTGGGGAATTGCCGCAGACTCACATTAGACCTCGCCAGCCCTGGGGGCTGCGATCTGTGAAACTGTCGCCATTTTCGAGGGCCGCTAGGGGGCTGGCATAATAGGCACTCGCCGCAAATTCAGATTAGACCTCAACATCCCTGGGGGGGCTGCGATCTGCGATGGGTAGTCGCCGCAGATTTGGGATTAGACCTCGCCGTCCCTAGGCGGGGGCTGCGTTCTGTGAAATTGTAGTTTTGTTTCGAAGGCTGCTGGGGGGCCAGCATAAGGGGTACCCGCCGCAGATTCAAATTACGTAGACATCGCCATCCCTGGGGGGCTGCGATCTGCGAAACGGTCGCCACGTTCGAAGGCTCCTGGGGGGCAGAATAGTGGGCACTCGCAGCACATTCAGACTAGACCTCGCCGTCCCTGGGGGACTGCGATCTGCGAAACTGTCGCCACGTTCAAGGGCTGCTGGGGGGGGGGGGCAGATTAGTGGGGAATCGCCGCAAATTCAGGTTAGACCTCTCCGGGAGGGTGCGATCTGTGAAGCCGTCGCCACGCTCGAGGGCTGCAGGGGGGGGCAACATAATGGGCATTAGCCGCAGATTCAAGTTAGACCCCGCCATTTCTGGAAGGCTGCGATCTGTGAAGCCGCCGCCAGTTTCGACGGCTGCCGGGGGGGGGCAGCATAAGGGGCACTCGCCACAGATTGAGATTGGACCTCGCCATCCCGGGGGGGCTGCGATCTGCGAAAACGTCGCCACTTTCGAGGGCTGCTGGGGGGGGGCGCAGCATAATGGGCACTCGCTGCAATTGCAAATTAAACCGCGCCGTCCCTGGGGATCTGCACCTGTGAAATTGTCGCCACGTTCGAGGGCTGCTGGGGAGTCCAACTGAGTGACGTCCCACGCAGAATCCGACTAGACCTCGCCATCCTTGGGGAGCTGCGATCTGCTAAACTGTCGCCACTTTCGAAGGCTGCTGGGGGGTCCAGCGGGGTGACGTCCAACGCGGATTCAAATTCGATCTCGCCGTTCCTGGGGGGGGCGATCTGCGAAGGCGTCGCCACTTTCGAAGGCTGCTGGGGGGCCCAGCAAAATGAAATCCTACGCGGGCTCAAGTTAGATCTATCCATCCCTGGGGTGTTGCGATCTGCCAAACTGCCGCAACTTTTAATGGCTGCTGGGGTGTCCAGCGGAGTGACGCCCTACGCCAATTCAAGCTCGACCTCGCCACCCCTGGAGGTCTGCGATTTGCGAAGCTGCCGTCATTTTCAAGGGCTGCTGGGAGGTCCACCAGAGTGACGCCCCACGCAAACTCAGATTAGGCCTCGCCATCTCTGGGGCGCTGCACTCTGCGAAACTGTCGCCACTTTCGAGGGCTGCTTGGGTCCAGTTGGGTGGACTCGAATTAGAGCTCGCCATCCCTGCGGGGCAGCGATCTGCAAAACTGTCGCCGTTTTTTGACGGCTGCTGGGGAGGGGCCGCGGGACGCTCGCTGTCGCGGGCCGCCCGCAAACCTGGCGGCGCGTCTTCGAGCGCTTAGATCCCGCGCTAAAAAATGCATGAAGGAAGCAGGAAAGCTGGCGGGCGAGCTAGGCCTCGCTCGCTTCTTGCAGCGACAATAGCAGGTTCAATCATTTTACCGAGGGCCGCGGCGTCACGGCGCAGGCAACGCTGCATCTGTAGCGCACCACCCACAAAATCAACACTCTTCGGTCTCTCCCCGTCACTTGCGTCGTCGTCCTCTGCCCGCTGCCACCTTCCCTCTTCTGCCACCACGCTGACGGTTCGGCCCCCCGCGCGCCCTTCTCCCGCCCTTCGCCCCCGCCCCCATGTCCTCCTCAAGCCTGGGCCATCGCTCCTCGCCCTCCTGTCGCTGCCCTGCGAATCGCGCCACGTGGGCGCGCCCTATGCAGCTTGCGCAATAGATAACGGCGCCTGCACTGTCATTGCCTTGGCAATCTGGGCCAACTTGTCTTGTCACTTGATGCACATGTGTTGGGCACGTCGCAGGGCGATACTTCTGGCGCCAAGCCCTCCATGGGGCTGTGGACAGGGCCGCCATCCAATCTTGCAAAGATGGCGCATGTCGCGGCGGCTGGATGCTGGATTGTTGGGCGCCTCTCACTACTGGGATAATAGCTTCTTCATGAAATTATCCTATTCTTCGTCTCGAACTCCTTATCGCCAATGGCTTCGCGGCGCCAATGCTCGGGCCAGCCGCGAGCCGGGCGGGGTCGCAGCCGTCGGCGCTCGTGGAAAGCGGCCTGATGCACGGGAATTTCAGGTGGGTCGAACCGTCAGTGGCCTTCACCTCGATAGCTTTCCATGCGACATACAGCAGGCCGTTCGAAGTGTACTTTAGGCCATGGATCGATTCCAGCTTCCTCTTCTCAGGATCTTCGCCCCCCGCAAACACATAATGTTTATTGCGCGGCGTTGCTGGCGGCTCGAGGGCAACGGGCGCTGCGAAAGCTAGACAGAACGCCGAGCGCTCCGGGTTGGCCACGTCGGACCCGTCCAAGGAGAGGTCGGGCCCGTCGAAGTAGCCCCCCTGGGCACAATTCTCAACCCCATGAGAACCTGCACGGGCGCCCCCTCGGCCTCGATAGAGTCGATGACCTCACCGCTTTAGGGCAGCTCGACCTCCAGCACCTCCCCGACAGAGTCGCCTGTCTCACGCCAAGATGCGTCGAGTAACGATCGCTTCCCAACCGCCGTAAACTCGCAGAAAATATCCCCAACATCGACGGTCCGAACGCAAGCAATCTCGAAGGCCCAATTTGCTTCAACTCATTGCACGCGACGTCGGGTAGCTCACCGTGCCCGGGTTCCGGCGGGCCAGGTCCGCCGCCCCACGCTGCGCGTGACGGCCC